AGAAAATTTTCATGACCCTACAAAGAAATCCCATCCCTATTAGCAGTTAAGTCTTCATTCCTCCTACACTTTTTATTTCTTATCTTTCTGAACCTCTGTGTGGCTGTAATATAATTGATCAGACTTTTAATGAGTGATTTCATTTATTATCAAGGTATTAGCTATCATCTTTTATGGACATCACATTCCTTAGCTCCAATTCTGACCACTTTCCCCTAAGTTTCAGACAAATGTCTGTTGGGAATCTGCACTTAATGTCCCATAGGCATCTTGAAATTCTCAAACACAATTCATCACATTCCTCCTCTGGTATTCTTTATCTTTGTTTATGGCAGTAGTCCAAGTCAGAAGCAGGACGACATCCTAGAACTTGTTTTATACAAACCCCATTGATTTTTCTCCTGTGGACTTTCTTATACTATTATAATAGTATTTTAAAAAGTAGGGTCTGGAGATGTGGGGTTATGTACAGTTGCAAGTCTAAAATGTACAAATGTATTAGATTTATTATTTACATTAGGCTCTGGGTGTATTACGTACACTATGTGCATTGGCAATATTTATGTTTATTGCAATAATTTTCTGCAAGAGGCAGAAAAATTCCCTAAGGGAAGGAGGGGACTTTTTTTTTTTTTTTAATTGCCACAGAGGTACCCATGGACTGGTAAAGGTGCTATAACCATGTTTAAGTTTAAATACTATTTAATTCACTTACTAAATATATAATCTTAGTTCATTTAACCTGTCTTTCACTTGTTTTCATCTGCCAAATGGAATCTCAGTATATTTTATCATTACTTTTATGATAAAAAGGTAGAAGTTTTCTCAACACCTACCATTAGCAGTTGGTAGCTGGAAAGCCAGATCAAGGCCTCCTCTTATTCTGAAGAGTATATCCATAGTTTCTGAAATTACCTAGAATAAAACAAAAATTCCCTTATGAAGCAAAACATACCCATCCTCAAATAAATTAGAATCTATTAGACTTTAGAGTAAGGCATTAATTAAGCTTGACTCTTTGGATTATTTCTTGAATTAGTTCCTTGTTTTATGGAGAAAAATGAAATGCAATGCCTTGTGTTTAATCAGCTTTTCATAGCTGTGACCGAAATACCTGACAAAAACAACTTGGAGGAGGAAAAGTTTATTTTGGGGTCAGGGTTTCAGATGTTCAGTTTCTGGTTGGTCAGTAGACTCCATTGCTCTTGGCCCCAGATGAGGCAAAATATCATGGGAAAAAGGGTTTTGCAGAGGAAAGCTACTCAGCTCATGGCAGTCAGAAAGGAGAGACAGCACATAGGCACTTAAGATATTAATGACAAAACATAATCTACTTCCTCCAGCCATGTCCCACCTGCCTATAGATACCACCCAGGAATATATCCAAATTATTAAACTACCAAGTGGGTGAATCCACCCATTAAGTTACAACTCTCATTAATCTACTCATTTCACCTTTGAACATTCCTATCTTGCCTAACATGAGCTTTTTGGGGGATACCTTGTTGGAATAAGTTTCAGTCTCAGCTAGCAGCTACTAGCAGCTCGGAAGTGCCTGAAATACCAGCTTCCTTCAGGCGTGACAAGAGCGCCTGCAGGATGGGGTGAAACCACATCCTCAGCACTTGTGGTTAGTATTGCCAAACTGCCCCGCTAAGAAACTGAGAGTCAGGGGCTTCAGGGCATGGAACCCCTGACTCAGTAAGGGTTAAAGACCCTTCCAGATCGCTTTCTGCCACAACAGCAATATTTAGAGTTTCCTCACAGTGCAGTTACATTAGGCAGAAGATGATTGGCTTATGGATATTGTCTTGCTTATGTAATATTGACAGGCATGCCCCACTCAAACCCTATAACTGTTATGTGCATTCCAAAAATAAACTGAGCTACTGGACAACGACCTGAGATGGGTCTCCAGCCAGTTCGTTTACCAGCTCCTGGAGTCTGTGTGCTGATTCCACGTCTCTATCTCCCCCCACCCCCCAGACAAGGTAGCCGAGTGACCATTGATCACGAAGGGACTAGGAACACATTCAATACCTAATATCCAAACCTTAACATCCCTAAATTTTAAATCAAGGGTTTTCAACCTTCCAGACTTAAATCACCTGGGGAACTTAAAATTTTGATACTTGGGTTGCATCCCCAGAAATTATGATCAATTGGTCTAAGTTTGACATAGGCAAAAGGATATTTAAAAGCTTCCTCTGCCCCCGTGATTCTAATGTGCAAAAAAAAAAAGGCTGAGAACTACAGTTTTAAGATGATATTTCTAAGTTATAATCTTGAGGGATTTAACAACAACATGAAAACATAAATGGTAAAGAACCAGTTTAAGAATAGAATAAGAAAACTGAACGTTATCTGATGACACCTGGTGGACAAGACAATGAGAGGAAACTAACAAATCATTGGGATGGTGTCAGTATAAACTGGAAGCTCTTCTTAGAAGGTGGCAATAAGAATCAAAGCTTTTTGAGCTGGGGTTGTGGCTCAGTGGCAGAGCATTCACCTAGCATGTGTGAGGAACTGAGTTCAATCCTCAGCACCACATAAAAATTAATAAACAAAATAAAGATATTGTGTCTATCTACAACTAAAAAAAACTACACTTTAAAAAAGAATCTAAGCCTTTTATAGTCCCATCTTTGGGCTAGTGGTTCTACAGATAGAAATTTACTCTAATAAGAAAATCTGCAAAACACAGAAAAATTAGGGTATTTTAACCTAATTACCACCAACAGAAGATTGGTTAAATAATTATGAATATCATACAACTATAAAAACCACTTAAAATAGAATTTAAATGGCATAGGATAACACTTGCAATGTGGAACATGCAGAGGGAAGAGAACTTGCAAAATGGAAATGATCAACAGTTCTTAACTTGGGTCCATATGCCAAGTTCCAGGTAGTCAATGATGATATATGACAAACAAACTTTATTACTGTGTGTGAGAGAGTGACCAAAAGACAACAGCAAAGGTAGGGAGTGGGAAGAGGGAGAGCTTGCTTTTGAGGAGAGGTTTCAAAGATTTTGTCATATTCTCATAATATGTCTTAATCAGGCTGAAAAATCATACTGCACAGTGAGAACCGTATTTGGAATTAAATAGATACTGACATCGACTACGGACATTGATCCTCAGAACATAAAGTAGGAATCATTACAACATTTTCTCACTTCACAAATAACTTGTTGTTTTTCTTTAAGAGTAACTGCTTTTATTTATTCTAAAAATTATAACCTGTTGAAAGATACCACCCTTTGTCCCAATTCTGCTTCTGGGAATGTATTCTAAGGAAATAATCAAGAAAGTTCAGGGCATATTCAGCTTCACTGTTGTCCATTTATCTTACTGTTGTTTGGCATAGTTAAAAAAAGAAGAAGGAAGAAGGAAGAAGGAAGAAGGAAGAAGGAAGAAGGAAGAAGAAGAAGAAGAAGAAGAAGAAGAAGAAGAAGAAGAAGAAGAAGAAGAAGAAGGGGAGGGGAGAAGAAACCACTAAAGTAGCTCTCAGTAAGAAGTTGGTTATATAAAGATCAATACTACCATACAAACAGTGTATGGATATTTGAGTAAAAAATATTTTTAAAAAGAAGGTAAAAAGACAGGCAAGAGCAGATTTTAATTCTGCTACTTACTGCATGATTTTGCCCAGTTTAATTGCTCAAGTCTATTTCTCTTCTGTAAAACTGGGATAAGAAGGGTTGTCATGAACATTCCATATGTGAAAATACATAAGTCTCCCTGGACTTCTGAATCAAGATCCTCTCTGAAGAAATAATATTTAAGCTGTGACAGTTGAGTAGGTAGGAGTAGCAGAAGTATTAACACTTCTAGAGGAACAGAGTGGGGTTGGAGATAGAAGAGCCCATTCCAACAAGGGCATGGACTCATGAAAGCCTCCTTAAAAGACGACTTAGGAGACTATCCTAGATAGATAGAACTAATAGTGGCACGGACAAGGATGGCAAGAGTGGAGAGAGTGACATTGGACAGGCAATTAGAAGTAGAATCTATAGGACTTGATTATGGATTGGACATTCATTTGAGAAAAGGAAGGTGTAAGGGTGATTTCCAAGTTTTGGGCTGGCAGGTGGATTGTGGTGTCATGTGCAGAGATGGGAATTCCTGGAGTAAGAGCAGATGTGAAGTGAGGGAGGTGAAAATGATGAGTCAATTTTGAACCTGCAGGGTTTGAAATACATATGAGCAATCCAAGTGGAGGCACCGTTAGCAGATTTATGAATCTGGAGCTCAGAAGAAAGGACTAAGCGGGAGATACAAAATTGGGAGAAAGCATAGGATGTAAAGTGTTCCTGTTAATCTAGGATAGGGATTGGAGGACCTGGCTGAGCTATGAGACAGGAGGGAAACCAGGAGAGTGCAACACTGAAGCTAAGGGAACAGAGTATTTATTTGAACAGCTATTCCTCTTTCATAGCTCAAAATCTTCTTTCTTAATAGCCTTCAAATACGACGAATAATGCCTCATTCTAAAAAAAAAAAAAAAAAAAAATCACAAGGAGGAGAGGCAGGGAGCGAGTATCCCAACGCGGCTGAGCCGAGGGTGCAAGAGTTAGTGGACAGATTCCCTCTGGCTGCAGCTGGGAGAGAGGCCCAGGCTGCAGACTCCAGACAACGTAGTTTGCAGCGATCATCGAGGGCCGGGGAGCCCGTCTCCCTTTAGGGGATCGGACCTGTAGTTGCGCGGGCTGTCTAAGTCCAAGGGGAAACGCAGGGGTCGGTGATGAGCAGAAGCGCTTACCATTTCCACGACGTGGGGGTGACACCGACGTCTACTTCTGCCTAGAGGCTCTGGAGCCGGCCGGGAAGTGACGTCATCGCCGGCCAAAGGGTAGGGCTTGTGCGGGGGACTACAATTCCCAGCATGCCCGGCAGCAATACGTCACAGAACGTACCACTTTACATCTCCTCGCCGACGGCTAGAAGGATGGGAAACGAAAGACTTCTTTTCGATATATTGGACTGATTGAGTCTTTTGTATCCTATAGACCCTCACAAGTCGTCCCGTGTGTTTTTCGATGCGGACTGGAACTCTCCTCGTGTCCTCCCTTAGTCTACTTGGAATAGTTTCTCCCGTACCCAGGGCAACGCGGCACAATAAGCCCCAGCGGTGCACCGAACGTGCGGAGTCTTTTCGCAGCCTGCGCGCGCCTGGCGGGAATCCCTAACGCGCGGGAGGGCGACTCGGAGCCTAGTTGCTCCTGCAGCGCAGTAAATCCGGACCCGAGCTGGTACGATCTGATCTTGGTTGTCAGATCAGGTGCCCTTCGGAGAGGCGACTTGTTCCTCGCAGACACCAGGTGTTGTCCCCTAGATACCTGTCTACTCCAAGCCTTCTTATTCCTAATGGGAAATAATTTCGTCATCGCCTCAGCCAGAAGTTTTCTGCTCCTCCTTCATCCTCCTATGCACTTTGTCCATGCCTTTTGAAGAGAACCTGCCGCATTCCACTTGCCTTATACTTATTTTCTTCCTTAGCTGTCAGCTCCGGGCGGGCGGGCGCGCGCGGGGGGGGGGTAGGATCCATTCCTTTTTTAGGTTTCAGTTTTCTTCGCCATTACCAGTGAGCCTTACCCGGAGGAGGAGGGATTTGCCAAGTATTTGTTAAATGAATGAATGAATGATTTTTGTAACTGTAGCTCAAGAAGAGTTAAGTAGTGAGAAAGTTAAGGGCAAGAACTTTTCTCCTTCCCCTGCTCTGTGGCTCACTTGACTGGGTGCCAGATCCTGTGTCCTGGGAATAATAGCACAATAATGAACCAAATTAGCCATTGGAGGTAGCATGCACTTGCAATCCCAGCTACTGGAAGGCTGAGGCAGGAGGATTCCTTGAGTCTAAGAGTTTTGAATCCAGCCCTGGCAACAAAGGAGGACTTCCCTCTCAAAAAAAATTGGTGAAGATGAACCAAACTCATATCACAGTTCCTGTCTTGTGGAGTCAGCATTTTAGTTGAAACAAAATGGGGAAAACAAAGAATTCCTACACCAAAAATATAAAATGTTGACCTATTAGATAACATGATGAAGGCGTGGAAGGAGACGTACATGCAGCTATGATGAGGGGTATTAGAGAAATGATGAACAAACTGAGCAATAGGAAGATCAGTGTTTTATTGGGGTGACAGAAAGAAAGGGGTTGACATACCAAAATGAAACATGCACTGGCGACTGTGGGTGAGAAAACCCAACCTGAAAATTAGACAAGTGCAGCCAACTATCCAGGGAGTAGGTTCCGGTGGTGACTAATGAGGCTGGCCGATAATGGACTTGGTGGGCCACATTAAGGATTTGAACCCCTGTAGCAGCACAGGATACTAGTTAGTTGGGCAGTTGGGGTGGAGCTTGAAATAAACTGTAAACCATATAGTACACCCCCAATGATTGATGTGTAGTCTCCAGGCATACCTGATCAGAAGAAGAGGTGGGATGGGGAAAGTGTGTTGTATTTTCTCAAGCTGTATTTTTAGGCTGAATCTTCACTTAGGCCTTTGATGTTACACATTAAGTAATAATTCATACACAGATAAGCACAGTTCCAAATAGGGAAGCTTGCTAAGTCATTGAAACAGCTTGCTTTAAATTAAAGATAAAAGACTCTTACCTTGGATTATAAACCAAGAAGCATAAACCAAAGTCCCCCCCCCCACTAATGTATGCCCAATGCCTACTTCCTAATAGTTGCTTAAATACATAAAGATGTAGGGGCTGGGAATGTAGCTCATGGGAGACACTTGCCTGGCATTCACAAAAGCCCTAAGTTCTCTCCCAAATACTACCCCTGGAAAAAGACTTTCCGTAGAAAAGTTGGGAATGTAGCTCAGTGGTAGAGTGCTTGCTTAACATGTGAAAGGCCCTGGATTTGATCCGTAGCACCAAGAAAAATGAATAAATAAATAGCTCAAAAACATTAGAGTAATGTTTTAATCAGCTTTGCTTCTTCGCTGTGACAATACCTGACAAAAACAACTTAGAGGAGGAAATGTTTATTAGAGAACAAGATTATTTGGGACTTGTGGGGAAGCTTATATAGTGGGGTCAGGAAGCATAGAGGGGGAAAGATGCCACAGGGAAGATGAACCCTTTCATGGCACACACCCAGTGACCCATCTCCTCCAGCCATGGCCCCACTCTACATTTACCACCCAGTACATTCCAACTAGGATGAACTGATTAGGTTTCAGCCACCACAATCCAATCATCTAACCTCTGAACATTCCTTCATTAACACAGGAGCTTTGGGGGACACTTCATATCCAAACCATAACAGTTGAATGGAAGCAAGTATTCTTTAGCTCTTTGGTTTTTCTTTTGAGTTAATACTTACATGTTTAATGTGACATTTCTCCTTTGTTTGAAGTGATTATTTTAAAAAGTTGCAGTCTGCCTTTTAACAAATCTTCAGAATTCACTGTGGATTTTTTTGTTTTGTTTGTGTTTTCCTCTTGCCTTAAACAATTGTCCTCTCCCTCATTCTCTTCAGGAACTAATTTTATGAGTAGCACATTTCTTATACTAATTTGAACTTGAAAAAAACCCAAGGTCAACAGGGCAAGACCTATATGCAGTGTGCATTCTGAAAAACTGTTATAATTTTCAGTATGGGGAACATTTAATGTAAACTATCAAATATGTAGTCTGGGATCATACCACTCTGAATGTGCCTCATCTCATTTAAACTACAAAATGTTTACCTTATATAATTATGATTTTGAATCTACATTGAACTTCTCAAATGAAGGAAATTGTTTATACATATTGATAGTACACTTTATGGTAATAATTTTATCATTTCCAACAGAGAAATGGCAGATGATATCACACACATTCCTTTGGAATTATGGGCACTTTACATGAAGAGTCAAGAGACAATTTTAAATCTTAGTGTTCTAGTATTCCACAGAGTAGATTTCTCTCTACTTAGTTTGGGACTGTTGTTTTATAGTGAATATTAAAACTCTTACACTGAAAATAATGTGGATTGAAATTTAATAATTGCTTTTTGACTACTCTCCCCCTTTTCTCAATGTAAAAGTAAGCTTTTGCTATAAACGAAGCAACAAGAAAGAAACTTTTGAAGTTACCACCGTAAGAAGCAACCATGCCTATAGAAGGAGGAAAAACGGATATGGAGAGGATTGGCCTCTTCAGTGAGATGGAATATATTACTGTTGGTGATAAATATGTCTCACCATTTAATCGTAAGTGTATTGGGTACTCTTTATGGGCAAATTAGTGATCATTACCTAAATTTTTAAATTAAACATTTAATTTAAAAATGATATTTTAATGATCTATATTTTAAAGTATTGAGCTCTAAAGTTGACTAACTTGTGACATTGCAATAGCTACGAGAGAACTTAATTTGTAAGAATGGGAAGCTCATTTTATTGGGCTACCTTGTACTCATTTATTGTCCTCATAGGTGATTTTACTTCTTTCTAAGTGTGCATCTAAGGCTATCCAATATCACTTTCCTGGAAAGTGAAATGCTGTATGAATAGCTGAGGGGATTTTTAGGTAAATCATAATAGAAAGACTTAAAATAAATATACACTTTTAATATCTCAGTTAAACATTTGGATGTCCAGTGACTTCTGTGTGACAAAAAAGAATGCACAGATATGTAGCCATTTCAGCAATAATTGTTAAATAAAAAAACAAGATTGGGAACAGTGTATTTATTATGTTAAATATTAAAATGAGACTATTCACTCAAACATGTCTGGACATTCTCTGGAAGACAAAATTAATATCACTGCCTGTTCCATTGGAGAGGAACTTCATGGACAAGTACAGGAAGAAAATTAATTGTGGGGCTGTTATTACTATCAAATTTGAAACTATTTGAAAATGTTACCTTTTCAAAATTTAAATTAAAAAATCAGTGATGAAAATTTATATTTCAATAAAATATGAATTATATTTATATTTATATATCAACTTGAAATAAGGGTTGTATGCACTTCAACAAGTTCTTCATATTTTGGAAAGACTTCCTAAATTAAGCCCTCTTATGACCAAATTATTAAAGATCTAAATATTTGCAAATGCAGCCTTCAAAAAATTTGTGCTAGTATTTCAATTGTAGAAATGCTACAATTTTTTAATTGACTCATAATAGTTATACATAATGTCAAGATTCATTTTGACATAATTGTAAATGGGTGGACTATAAATTGCTTCAATTCAGTCCCCAGTACTTATCCTTACCCTCCCCTCCTCCATCCCTCTCCCCCTGTTCCCTTTCTTCTACTCTACTCATTTATTTATGTTTTTAAAAATATTAATGTTTTGTGGATATACATAGTGGTGAAATACACTGTAGTTTTCATATATTTACATTAAAAAGTTAGGTCATATTCATTCCACTGTTTTTTCCTTATTCTCTCCCTACTCCTCATTCCCCTTCTTCATCTCCCCTGATCTTTTATTTTGATGAAATTCCTACTATTTCTTTTCTCTCTTTCTCTCTCTCCCCCTCCCTCCCTCCTCCTTTTACCCTTTTTTTAGAATAGCTTCTTCATATCAGAGACAACATTTGACCTTTGACTTTCTGTGTCTGGCTTATTTCACTTGCATTATAGTCTCCAGTTCCATTCATTTACCAGCAAATGATGTAAATTCATTTTTTTCATGACTAAGTAATACTTTGTTCATCTGTTGAAGGGCTCCTAGGTTGGTTCCATAGTCTAGCTATTATGAATTGTGCTGCTATAAATATTGATGTGAAATGCCACAAAAATCTGTTCAATAGGTAGACATTTGAGTTGTTTCTTGTTTTTAATTATTAAGAATGAAACTACTGTGAACATTTTTGTTCATATTTTTTAGAGGACATTAGCTCTCATCGTCTTGAGCATATACCAGTCTTCTCTTCAACCTCCACACATGCTCTTATTGACATTACATACAAGCACACAAACAGTTTCCTAGTATGTAGCCAGAGGAACATTGGGTAAAATAACTATTAAGACTCTTCCAGTTCCAGAATTCACAATGTATCACAAGGATCATGTTCAACATTTTAATGGAATCCTCTCAGGTCTTAATGTCAATATTGATGTCATTTTAATGTCATTAATACAGAGCTTTCAGTTAGCATTTTAAACAACATTTATTTTAGAGCTCAAACCCAGAATTGGCACAAATCACATTTGGAAGCTTTTCTGTTTTCTCCATGTTCTTAATTACTAGTCAGCTCAAATTTATAGTATGGCTAATTTATTTTTAAAGGACCCTTTAATGAGGCTGCAAGCAAAAATAGACAGATTCTACCTGGGGGAACCAAAGAAATGTCAAATCTCCAGGCAGGTTATTTTGATCCCCAATTTGCAAGGATTTTTGAAGGCGAAGGCTATGTAAATCTAAATCAAGTGAGAAGACGGCATATGATGGAAGAAGCCAAAAAAAATCTTGCCAAAGCCTTTATCCCGAGTAGTGGAGATAAAAAACCGTAAGTGTTTTGGGAGGTGGGGGAGGGGGGAATTTTAAATATATCTCTTGCATCTTTATCTCTTTCATCTAAAGAAAATGTTTATTTTTCTATAGGACTTACTTATGGAAAATTAATTTTTAAGAAATATTTATTCTTAAGCTTTAGTTGGACACAATATCTTTATTTTAAATTTAGGTGGTGCTGAGGATCGAATCCAGTGCCTCTTGCATGCTAGGCGAGCACTCTACCCCTGAGCCATAACCCCAGCCCAGGAAGATTAATTTTTTAAGTAGGATTTTTTGGATGATTTATTTTAGGTGGAAACAACTATATTGGATGATTTAGATAATTTAAAATATAATCTCATTATCATAGTAATTTTTTATAATGTCACTGTTCTCTATGTATTTAGACAATAAAAGCCATTAAATAATGAAAATAATTTGTTCAAAAACCTTGCAAAAGTCAGGTGGGATAAGAATTGCCTTGAGTTGTTCTATTTTTTTTTTTGACTATTTTTTTCTGTTGTTAAAAAACTTTTAAAAAGTATAAATAAAAAAATGTGCATGGGAGAAATGCTCTTTTGAAAAAAAATAATTTATCAAAGATATATTATTTATGGGGCCAGGATTGTGGCTCAGTGGTAGAGCGTTCACCTAGCACGGGCGGGACCTGGGTTCGATTCTCAGCACCACATAAAAATAAAGGCATTGTGTTGTGTCCATCTACAAAAAAAAAAAAAAAGATTCTCTCTCTCTCTCTCTTTGAAAAAAGATATATTATTTTTAAATTGCTATGAAGATACACTCATGGAGATTAATAAAATTTTAATTTTGAACACTTATCAATGAGAAAGCATATTTTTTTCTTACCATGAGATCACATTACCTTACTAAGTAAGACCATGTATGTTATACTATGTCTCAATTCAAAATAGATGGTAGGTATGAATTGATAAAACTTAACTTTGTGCTTCATTGCTGTATTTTCTTTTTTCCTTTTACTGATGCACTATAATTATACATAAGAGTGGAATTTGCTATATTCATACGTGCACAGTATAATTTGATCCGTTTCATTCCCCAGTACCTCCCCTTTCCCCTCTCCTCCCTCCCCATCTTCTTCTTCTATTCTACTGTTCTCCCTTTTATTGGTTTTTTAATTTGCTGATTTTTCTTGAGAACAGTGAAGCTCTACTTCTATAACTTAGTCATCCTTCTAATTCTAACAGATAATCTTGTCTTCTCAGCCAAAGTTATTGTCTTTATTAAGAGTGGGAGATTTCTTCTTTGCTGTAGTCATTAAGTTTCTTCTTTTTTAACCTTTTCTCCTTTTCACACTTAGACTTGAATATTATTACTATTTAAAATTACCACTGTTTCGTAGACTTATTCATTTCTCCTTATATATAAATTTTAAAAAGTGTTATTTTTCTTTGTAGATATTTCATTCCTTTTTCATGTAATATATATATTATTTTTTAAATAAGTTTTTCCTGATTTTCAGTCTTTTTTTCCCACTTGTGATCGACATGAACCCAGGTGGTAATAATTGAGAATTTTGCTACCTTGATTCATTAGTTCATAACATGCTTATATTGATTTGCCAGCCAAGAAATAACAATTATATGATAATAGACTAGCTTCTCTTTATTTTAAAGCTTATAAATATGTGAAAAAAATCTCTAATTTAGTGACATACAAAAAGTATTTCTTTTTTTTATATCTTTATTTTTATGTGGTGCTGAGGATTGAACCCAGTGCCTCACATGTTCAAGGCAAATGCTCTACCACTAAGCCACAACCCCAGTCTGACAAAAAGTATTTCTAGAAAGAGAAATTGGTAGCATAAGAAGCCCTCATATAGGCATTTATTCAAAACCAAATTATGGAACCATAGGCATATTTTTATCTTCATGATTATTTTATTAATCTCTCTGCTGGACTTTAAAAATATTTTATTTTTGATTAGCATGTGTTAATTATACATATTAATTTGGTTCAGCATGATATTGCAACACTTGTATACATCATGTATGAATCAAATCCAGCCTTCCTCTATCCACTCTCCTCCAGATTATAGGCATTTAATAAATTCTGAATGTAGTGACTTACATTGTTGGCATTACATCACATTCTAGTTAAATTATGCTTTTCATTAATTCTCCTTTTCTCTGCAATATCACTGCTGTACTTCCTTATTGTATTTTAGAATGTATGACATATGTTCATAAGGAAGGATTAATGAAAATAAGTAATCTCTCTTAATTGGAACCTTTATTTGTAGGCTGGAGATCATGAGTAATCAATGTTTATGTTTTTCTGATTTTTGAAATTTAAACATGAATGCATAGTGTCATCTTCTTATAACAATGTTCCATTTTCTGATGATTACAATTTGTTTACTTCAATGATAACTCATTAGCAGTAGTTATCCTTTTGATTGTGCAAAATTTAAAGAAAACATTTGTGAAAATAATAAAGGGCTGAGCAATAAATAGTTGGATTAGCTATTGTGTGCCTAGAAAAAATCTAACATTAAAATTGAAGAAAAGATTGGTTAATTTTTTTCCTACAGTAATGAGTGTAAACCAAAAAGAAAAAAGAAATTAACACCAAAATTCCATAAGATTCACTTTATCATCAGCAGTGAAACATAGTTTCAAATATGTAGTTTTGAAAGTGTATTTTTAAAGGAGTGGATGATCAAAAGACATTCACCATTTGTTAGCTAACTTGCCTTAAGGTGCCTAGAGATTTGTGTAATTTCTAAATGGATGGGGATTATTCTAACTAAAGATTGTGAAATTGTATTTATGGAACATTTGAAATAAATATAAAAATGTTAAATCATATCTTGGAATTTATAACCTTGAAAATGAGGAAAATCAAGTTAAATACTAAAAAACTTGATTTTTTTTCCTTACTGGAGTTACTCAAGCACCTATTTTCCTCCTTTTTCAATATTTAAAAAAATTATACAAAAATACATATAACATTAAGTTAGCCATTTTAACCTCTTCCTTTTAAAAAATAACTGTATTTAAGATGTGGACTGGGAAGCTACTATGGAACAATAGGTGGTCCAGTCCCATCCTTCAGTGCACAGGCCAAACCCAGGGAACAATATATGCCACCAGGAAAGAATTTATACACAAACCCAGGAAAGAAAGGAACCGGATATGGGTAAGATATTTTTAATGTTTTCATATCATGTTTTAAAATTTAATAAACTTTCTGAACCCTGAAGTCACCATTACTTATTTCCCTTCCTTAGCTATGCAAATATTACCATAGGTAAACAGTTTTCACACTCTTCTGATTTATATGATGCAGCAAGACAAAATTTTAAGGTAAAATAACCTACTTTTAATTTTTCAACCCTTTTTTTATTTGGTTGACTTTGAGAATTTACTTGTTATCTAATTAAGTTTTATTCTGTTCTATTTGTATAATTGGGACAATAGCAGACACGTTTATCGATTATAATAATCTTACCTTTTTGATATGAGATTTCCACATCTTCCTGTAGATAGATCCTCCCAGCTCTTGCCAGGATGAATTTTATTTCCTGCTGTAGTGGATCATGTCTGTCTTACATTTCTGTCTCAGCTAGCTGGGAGACATGTTGACTTGGCCTGATCGATGATTATGTTCTGCTTTAAGGGAAGAGTCATATCCTGTCTCTTAGCCATATTCCCATCCCACACTAATGTCTTGTGTGTGAGAAAGTAATGGTAATTCTTTTGGGGTGAGTGTATAGGAAGGAGGAGTGATGGGGTGATGGGAGAAAGGGGAGAGTAGAGAATGGATGAATAGCTATAGGAGAGAATGAAAGGATCTGAGAAAACTGCATTCTGAATTAAATGGCAGAAGTAAAAACTAAAACATCCTGGCATAATATCTTTTACATTTACTTTACACAATATTTTACATATAACAAAATATTTAGTTATGTGAGGAGCATTTACATATGCTTAAATCTTAACTCTTATAAATTTTAGAACAAGATCATCATAATTTTTTTTTTTTTTTGGTACTAGGGATTAACCCATGGGCAATTTGCCATTGAGTTACATTCCCAACTCTTTAAAAAGTTTTAAGAATCTTTAGACAGGGTCTCACTAAGTTGTTTAGGGCCTTGCCAAGTTGCTGAGACTGACCTTGAACTTGCTTGTCTCCACTACTCAAACCACTAAGAATCATAGGCATGCACCACCTTGCCTGGCATAATTTAAAAGTATCAGGGTAATTTAAAGAAAGCTGGTAGTGAAAAGTCAAGTTAGTTTGTACTTAAAACAGATATGGCCATCTCTTTGTTAGTTTTTTTTTTCAGCATGCAGTCTTCAATAATTTTGCTGTGCTGATTTTAATTGGTGACTGAGAATTAGAATAGTGGCCAATTTTGCAAAGGGGCATGTCCAAATCCAGGGAAAGTTTTTAATTAAGTTGGATAGAACATTTTGTCATTTGAAAATAAGCAGCTCTGTTTGTGTGATGGATTATGCAGTTTATATAAAATTGTATGTAAACTACTTTTCATCTGTAGAAATAATAATGCATACATACTACCTAATACTTACAATGTAATTTTATCAGAGGCTCAGTAAGTTGTCTTTCATCCTAAGCTTTTCATTTTCAGAATTTATTATACATGTCAGATATTTTGTGTACCTGGATTTCTAAAGTAATTTCTGAAGGTAATTGGAAGAATGTATTTGTTTTTTCTTTTAGTATTTTAAGAGATTACTCCATTGTGTTTTTGCTTGAATTATTTATGATGAGAAATCTGCTGTTATGCTCACATATGTTCATTTGTATATACTATGTCTTTTCTGTGGCTACTTAAAAAAATCACTCACATAAGCAATTTGATTATCATGTGCTTTGGGGTTTTCTTTCACACTTCTTTGGCTTGGGGCTTATTAAATTTTTGGATAGTTACTTTAAAAATCTGCTTTAAAATATTTTCAGTCAATCTTTCTTCAGCTTTTTTTTTCTAATCCCTTTTCTTTTTCCTCTCAGAGATTCCAATTACATGTGTTTTAGGTCTCTTGAAACTGTCCACAGATTACCAATGCCCTATTCACTTTTTAAAAATGTTCTTTGATTTCTTCTCTATAGTTCACTTTGTTAGTTTCTATTGCTTATATCTTCAAGATAATTAATATATTCTAAATTTCCAGTCTGCTGTTAATGCTATCCAATGTATTTTTAAATATCATAATTGTGGTTTTGTGTTATAGAAGGGTTTTTTTAATTCTTTAATTTTTTTTTATTTTAGAAGTTTGATTTGAATGTTTTTAATATCTTACCTGTCTCAATTTAATTTGGGAGGCATATGGAATATAGTTATAATTAATTACTATTTTAATGCCCTTCCCTGATAATTCTAATATCTGTGTTAGTTCTGAATTTATTTTGAGCAATTAGTTTTTCTTCTCAGGATGGGTCATCTTTTTCCACTTTGCATTACTAGCACTTTTTGATTGGATGTCAAGCATGGGGAATTTTACCTTGTTGAATATTGTATATTTTTGTATTATAAATTTTCTCGAGTTTTGCTCTGGGATGCAGATATATTACTTAAAAACAGTTTGATATTTTCAAGTCTTGCTTTTAAGATTTGTTAGATGGGGACTGGAGCAGTGCTCAGTCTAGGGGTAATTATTATCCACTGTTGACGCAAGGTCTTTTGATGTACTCTATCCCAGTGCTCTGTGAATTGTAAATTTTTTTTTTAATAACTAGTGGGAAACAGTACTTTGTGAGAACCACACCCTCTTATCTCTAATTCTTCCAGGTGGTTTTCTTCTCGTATATGCTTAGCACAGTACTCAACTGACTATTCTAGGTCAGAAGATGGTAAAACAAATACAATATTCTCATAAAAAGTGATCATACTCTAATAAGTAAAAAGGTGTTCATTAAAACATTGCCTTATAACATCATGCTCAGAATCACTTAGGTTACCTGTTAAAATTGCAGATTAGTGGGGCCATACAACAGACTTATGTAACAGAAATCTTTGAAGGAAGAGCTCGGTAATTTCTAACTTAAATATATTACCAAGTGATTCCCATGGAAGCTAAACTTTCAGAAACACTACCCCAAAGAATATATGGAATAGTTAAATTGTCAATACTACTGTTGAGATATGGAAGAAGGCAGGGCAGATTATCAAAAACTGGTAGACTGGAGAAAGGAAGAGGACACACACAAGAGGAGGAGTGAAAAAAATTCTTAAAGAAATATAGTGAGGTTCCTGGTAGTGACAATTAGTCTTCTCTCATATGACAATTTTAGATTTTATTCAAATGTTTTCAGTTTAGATAGTTGACTGATGAAATATCAGATTTCATATTTGTAAAAAGTGAAAAAAAATAAATATTCACTTCATAGTTGTCTTTTAAAATTTTTATATCACAGCACGATTTGTTTGACACTTTATTAAAAGCTAGCCATTTTTATAACTTGGTCTTGTCCCATAGAAAAGATTGCAGCATAAGAGGAAAAATAAATCCTCTGATTTGTTTGAATACTAGGTAGCTAAAGATATTGTAACATAAAAATATTATATTCTTTAGTCTTCGAAGTAAAAGCTGACATTTATTGAGGGCCTACAATGTGCCAGCTGCTTTATTTATTTATTTTATTAAATTTTTTCTTTGGTATTGGGAATGAACACAGGGGTGCCTAACCACTGAGCTATAGCCCTGATCCTTTAACTTCTGTATTTTGAGAACAGGGTCTCATTAAGTTGCTTAAGGCCTGGTTAAGTTGATGAGGCTGACCTTGAACTTGTGATCCTCCTACCTCAGCGTACACCCAGCAGTATACACTAAAGAATCTACATATTTATGTTAAAATTTAAGAGGAGATTTGTCTTCACATTATTTCCAACTTGCATAGTATATGCTATGTAATTTCAAATTCTTTAATTTACAGAAAGAAAATGAAGAGCACCATCGGTTACTGAAGGGGGCACCTTTCAAGTTAAATCTTTACCCAAGGGACTATTTTGACACTAATCCTTATTTTACTGAAAAACCTTTACCTCCAATTAAAAAAGAAGAGAAGAAAGAATCACTTTTAAGTCCTTTTAAGCCCTCTTCTCCTGGTAAAAAGGTAAGTTAAAAGTTTAGAATGAAAAAAAAAAGCATTATAAATAACCTCTTGCTGTAAATTGTTTTATTACTCATCAATACAATAAGCTTTTCTTTCTATGGATGCCAAGAATCATGAAAGCCTAATTTTCCAAAATTGTATAAAAACATGGCTAAAGTATGTAATGAAGATCTTGTAATAAAGTAGTTACTAATCATTTCAAATATATTTGGACTTACAGTGAGTTTTCAAAGTAGCTTTCAAGACCTTAGACCTGGGTTTTTTCAAAACCATAAAATTTCCAAGTCATCTTTTTTGTTTTTAAAATGGTGATTAAAATGAACTACCTCCCTACTATAGATATTTATAATCAGTGAGAGTAAAAATTTTAAAATGCTCTGACAAACTATAAACCTTATTTCCTTTGTCCTTTTTCCTTCTATGAATTGCCTGTTCATTTTTTTAAATTGTTTTTTAGTTATACATGACAATAGAATGTGTTTTTACATAAATCCTTCCCATTTTGGGGGTTGTACATGATGTTGCCTGTTCATTTGCCTGTGAACTTTCTGTAAGGGTGTTTGTGCTTTCCATATTGACTCAAAATCTTTTCATACAGTAAGGTTATATCCTTTTTTCATTTGTGGTGAAAGTAATTTTTCTACTCTATTAGATCTTTTGACTTTGGTTATGTTATCTTGTGCTATTTAGAAATTGAATAAATTTATCAATCCTTTCTGGTGAAGTTTTATGTCATTTTCAGAATGGATTTGTTATTTTACCACTGGTATTAGAATAATGTGCCTTATTTTTTTCTGCTAGCCTTATCAGATTCAATTTTATCAGATGTATGTTGAATTTTATCAAATGTTGTAATATTACGTCATTTTTTTCTCTTTTTTACTAGTTATAAGGTGAATAATATATATATTATAAATATATTTCTGTAATGAATCTGATTTGGTGACATATTAATCTTTAAACATAGTACTATATTTAATTAGCCTTTATTTTATGAAATGCCAACATTTGTGTGTGTGTGTGTATGTGTGTGTGTGTGTGTGTGTGTGTGTGTGTATATATGGTGCTTTGTATTGAACCCAGAGTCTGGTCCATGCTAGGCAAGTGCTCAGTCTGCACTGTGTGTGTGCGAGTGCCTTGTTTATTTTGGTATAAGTAGATGCTAGCATCTTAAAATACTTGGGGAGATTTCCTTCCTTTACGTCATGTTCTGTAACAGTTTAAATATTACCATCAATTTCCATTCTTCAGAGACTTGAAAGAATTCACAGGGGAAGTACAGAGGTTGCTCTTTGTCAGCTTTCTCAGTTCTTACATTGTATCTGTTTTCTATAGGGTTTCTAGCTCTTCTTGGTCAATTCTGATCATTTATACTTTCTTAAAAAATTATTTAAATCAAGTTTTCAAATTTAAAAATTTACTATATTACTATATGAAAAATTTACATTACTATATGAAAAGATCTTAAAAAAACTATTTAAGTCAAAATTTCAAATTTTAAATCAAGTTTCAAATTAATACAGAAGTTTACAAAATATTATTTAATATATTTTGATATTCCTCATAGGCATGGATTTACCCTATTTTTAAATTCTTATTTCTAATATTGCTTCATATGTTTGGTTCATTCTTTAAAGAACCATTTGGTAGGTTTAATTACCATATATATTTTCCTATTTATAATTTATTCATTTAAATTTTTAAAAATTTATTTTCAAGTTAATTTATTTTATTTTCCTTAAGTTTTCTTATTATTATTCAAAATAATCTATGTAATCTCAGTCTGGAAAACTTGCAAAACTATAAGCATGTCTTTCAAATCAATTAAATTTTCATGTGTATTTTGGCTTAATTAAATGGATTATTATAACTAGAATTTTCTTAGTGAGTATGTAATATGTAGGTAAAAATCCTGTCAAATCCATTTAAAAAGTGAAAGCAAATATTTGTCTGTTGTATAGGTAGAATAGCACTTTGTCTTACTCTAGACTACAAGAAAAGTATAAAGTGGATCACATTTTCCTCTCACCTTCTATTTCTATGTGTTGTTCATTTTTTGAGGGCACTGTCTACTGTCTGCCTGCTGGTTATATAAAAATATATGCTGGGTCTCATTTCTTCAATAATCGACTCACCCTAACGAGGCAATAGCTTGATGAAACTCTCACTAGCATTAATGCTTGGTAACATCTGAGAATAGTACCTTACTATAATTTTTTTGTTTTTATGGAGAAATTTTGGAATATAATGTTTTAGCCTTATAGAATTGGTGGCAGCGAGACCTTTTACTGGTATTTGAATTAAACAAAAAGATAACTTCTTTAAATGTAAAACTAACTTCATAGATTACAAAAGTATCTATTAACTTATTCACAACCTAATTTTTAAAAAGTATTTTATAAAATCACATTAAATGTGCTCATTTTTATTTGTAGCCTGGTGGAATGAAAGCAGGAACATTTGAACCTTACCCATCACATTCTACTGACCTTTATATGCTTAAACCAGGAAAGGAGGTTTCCAAAAAAGACGATAAGGTTTTTCATCCTCCAAGTGGACCAAAAAGCAGACCAATTGAAAGCATAATGAGTATGAATGTCAAAAGGTAGGAATATCTTATATTTAGCCTAAGAGTCAAAAAATACTTTCAAATTTTAGACTTCAAAATATTTATGTATACACTTTTAAAAATTAAAATTTGAGTGACTTTAGAAATCTAAGCACCTTCAATATACCTGTCTTCCCTTGTAAAAAGCACTTTATCTCTAGTTATTTAAAACTACTTGGTATTTGTACTTTAACAGTATACACTATCATTGGCTATTTCTTAAAGGGAATTTCTCAGCATTTGTGAGGAATTGTTTTTTCTTTTTCTTTTTTGAGACAGGGTCTCATTAAGTTTCTTAAACTGCTGAGGCTACCCTTGAATATGTGATCCTCCTACCTCAGCTTTCTGAGTGGCTGGGATTATTGACATGTGCCACCATGCCCAGCTAATTGTGAGGAATCCTAATGAGGCTTAAGAGTTCTGCCCCTAGCTTTGAAATAACCTTCTCTGCAAATAGGAAATATTCTGGTTGATTAAAAATGCATATATAATACTTATGTACTTAAAATACTTATATTTGTCTGTTTAGTAGCTTTGACTTTATTGAAATCTGATTTTACATTATTACAAATATCCCACATCTAGTTTTAGCTTCTTTTCCCCTAATTTTAAAATGAATAAACCTTTGGACAATAGGAGTTAAAATTTGTTACATAATTGTTTCTCCTGTTAAATTATGTTTTCTAAATTTATCTGACTTTAATAAAAGATAAGTTTTCTAAGTTTGTGAGACAAATTTTGTTTCTGGATCATTAATATGTCATCAAACATATTAGTGTAAATTTTTAATGTAAAAATTTTATAGAAAATGTGGATATATTATCTGCATCTATAAAATTAAATGTGCCTTTATTTTTCAATTTTAGGGCACTCAATATGAAGAACTACAAGACTGCTTCATTACAGTCCTATTAGCAACTGCAAGACAAATAACTTTCTAAATCCTTACTACCAGTAACTTGTCATCAAGAGCTAATTATTTGAAAAAATGCAAAATGCAAAGTGTGTTGAACAGATAGCTCGAGCCTTGAAAAGAAATTAACCTCCAACTCCAATATTCTTCCTGATTTTAGTACTACTACTTAATAAATAGTTTTTGCTAATAATTTAACATGTGATTTCTGACTTATGTTTTAGATTTGTGTTCCTAAGCAGAGTATAATGCTGAAAAATGTTATAAAATCTTTAAATGGAGTCTATTACTTGGAATCTTAAAATTTCACAGTTGAGGTCAGGAACAGAGAAGGCTGGAGGAGTAGACTGTACACCACAAATTCTTAACTTGCTTCTTCTTCTCAGAGTGTTGAAAAACTGTACTGATAGTTATCCAACTGTCATAGCCTACCATTAACACTCTAAACAAAGAAACATTAGATCCATTTATATTGCACAATTTATATATGTATACATTATAGTGAGACATATGTTTCAACTCATGGTGTCATATCTTTTATTTGTAACTTAGGTAGAACATCCGATTACTTAGCCAATGGCAGCTCCAAGATAAGTTGAGGGGGAGGGGGGAATGCATGGATTCATTCTTATAATTCGTAAGATGGATTTGTTTTTGGTATTCCTCTAAAGCTGCCTCTCTTAGAGCATCCAGATCACTCCAATGCTTTAGTTCCCAAGTTCTTTCTTCTCCTTAATCTGCCTTCTCTCTTTTAAAAATGTGCTTTAAATATGATTAAATATATTACTGTTATTTATAGTGTGGTCTCTAATAGTCTTCAATTCAGTGGGGCAAGAGGTAGTGATGTTTGTATTTTGAAAAGGAAACTTAAAATGTATTAGGGAAGTTATTTTTGACCAATGATGCTTTTTGAGTATTTGTTCCCCTACCAGTCTAGGTTCTTCAGAGCTGAAAATCAGACTGGAGAAGTTTTAGGACTCTTTTTCTTTGTGTCCCATTGTTTTCTATCGGAGAGAACAATGTTAAGGTTTTTGAAAGGGTAAAGATAGTATAAAGAATTTTTGCCATTTTTAATTTTTTTTAAATTCATGCTTTATAATTAATTAGTGGGCAATGGATGTCTTAAAAATATTATCATGGGTATAATTTGATTCAAAGGTGCCTATGTCTTCCAAATAGAAATGGCTTTATTAGTTTTTCAGCACATAACTGAATCAAATTTATAGTTATATATTGATAAATAATACTGTTTTATATATTCTTTTGAGATTGTAGCTTATATATGTAGACTTTATGAATATCTATGTAATTGCCCATTTTAACTCTATCCTTTGTTAACTGCAATTAATTTTTATTAAAAGTGTGTCTTTTTAAAGCAATGCATGGTTTACATAATATATTCATAGATGGGAACACTCATAACCTTACAGAAAAGTATGATTAATAGTATGACAGTGGCAGACTTTATCTAGGGTTTACATCACTGTATTGATTTTCAGAAAGTGGATGCAGAAACCAGTAACAGGAATCATAAAACATGTAAACAAATTAAGATTTTTGGGAGTCAGGAGAGGAGCATGCATCCAATTAAAGGGGTGCAAACAAGGATGCCCATTGTTTTGTTTGAGGGCTTAATCACTGAGCCACATCCCCACCCGTTTTTGTAAATATTTCACTTTTGAGACAGGGTCTCACTAAATTTCTTAGGGCCTTACAAAGTTGCTCAGGCTGGTCCTGAACTTGCAATCCTTCCTCAGCCTTCAGAATCACCGGGATTATAGGCATGTGCCAGGAGTGCACCTGGCTGATTGTTTTCTTACAAATTCGTTTTTTTTTTTTTTCAAGCTTTGGAAATAAAAAGATACAGCATGAAATAGTTTCCCGTGAAGCAGCTTTATTTTTCAGAACTCAGGCATGAGCAGGTAAGAGTCACTGGCATCCTATCTCTTGAAGACTTCGACATCAAGGTATCTGCTTTCCCAAAAGAAGCCTATGTGACTTGAATATTCTGTGTCTACCAACAGTGAAAAAGGGAAGAAAAATCTTGCTTAGACAGCCATTAATTTCTGCTACATATTATCTAATTGTATTTGTTCAAGGCTCAGAATCTAAACAAAGATTGTGGATGTTAATTTGATCATGGAAGAAAAATTTAATTCAAAAGAAATGTGAGTGTCAAGACACTTCTAAGGGAACTAGAGAAAAAGTTAAGCAGTGACATAACCCATTTCTGGAAATCTTATCCTGTTTCTTTGGAGATTTTAGAGACTTATTTAGAGTCTTTAGAGACTTTTTTGTTCTTTTTATATTAAAGTGTATGCAGCATACATTAATAATAATAAACCAGGTTCAGCCTATTACTAGCTATGTATATTGAAGCAAATTACTTAACCTCTAGAGACTCTTTGCTCATAATCTACCTAGAAGAATTATCACAAAGACCAAATTAAAAATATTTCCCTGGCTATACAACACACACACACACATTTTTTAAAAGACTAATCATTATTATCCATTTTCGGGAGCTGGGACTGAATCGTTGCTTTTAACTATGTAACCGTGGACAGTGAGATTCCTCTCTTGGGAATCATTTGGCAAGGAGGCAAACGCCCATTTGTAAATAACTCCTGTTGATAGAATTCCGTGTTTGTCATGGAATTTACTAGTTCAAAAGCCTTGAATTCTAATCCTGGCAGCCCAGAAGTAGATGAGTGCAAACTGATAAACTCCCAATTAAACTGTTTTGCTCACAACCTCATCTTCCTGTTCACCTCAAGAAGCCTTTTCACAGTGAATCCCTTTGATGTTTAAGACCTATAAAATTAACACACGGAGCCCCTGCTCTTGTTGCTTAGATCCCTTTAGGACACTCTCACCAACTGGCCCACTACATCTATTTTTTGTGTCTTTGCCTTTTTTTTCTTTATTTCTACTTTTAATTCTCACTATATTTTCAATCTGCTCATGGCTCATGTTTCAGAGCACTGTTCACTGGCCATGCAGGTAGGTCACAAGGAGAATCCATCCATCAAGTAGTTTGTTGTAAATAAGTTGTATTTGCTAATTTGAATTTTATTAGTTATAACTGATTTTAAAAAATATTACTTCATTTAAAATACAAAAATGCTTATAAAATGTTTATTATGTGTCAAGTACTATCCTGTTGGTTGCTGCTCTGGAAATACATGCCCTTAAGTCCTTAAGTCCTGCAATAACTTGGGCTTTATCTCCACTGAGATAATGAGGCATGGCTTCAGGAGTAGGTGTCATCTGGTGGGTTGAGTTGCACTCACCTGTTCCTTTGTAATCCTACCCCTTGCCTCATTTGAATGGTGTCTCCCCAATAAAACCAGGTTCCAGTTGTGCTCTTTCTTTTTCTTGCCTACCTTGCCTCCTTTGTGGGAGCTGGGTCAGAGGAGCCATCCCAGAACCCAAAGGAAAAAGTATTTCTCTGTCTCTGTGTGCCAGCTCAGTTCACCTGGAGTGATCCTGACTGGTTTAGCCTTGTGTCATGACACCACCCCATATGATTACATATTGTTTATATTTATTATTTAATTTTCATTTAACAAATTAAGAAATGGAGGCAAACAGATGTCAAGTATATTGTCCAACATAGCACAACCAACAAAAACAAAACCAGGCATTCTTGCTGCTTTCCATCAATTTATGATTCCATTTTGTACCCTAGTTTACCAGTTTTCCATAGAAAGAATGATAATTCTTAAATGTATGATATTCACTGGGCAGGCTTTATCAGAATTAGAGAATAGAGTAAGGTGGAGATTATTTACTTCTAGGAGATCAAGTATAGAGCACAAGTTGACTGAAAAGGTCTTTTGCTAGTTTGTGCTGTCCCATATCTTATTAAGGACACAGGTTAGAAACCTATGGGAAATAGCCAGAAAACCATAAAAATCTTCACAAAGAAATGTGGGGTCATTACACTTCAGTTAGGAAAAGACCTAAAATGTTGTCTCATTTAAACTTTGTGATGCTTAAAAGTCTTCATAACATTCCTACCAAGTGAATATCCAAGCTTTATCGGATACTCTCTAGCACAGTGGCAGCTTTTTCATTTATTATTTATTTAACAAAAGTTCCAGGCATGTTTCTGGGCACTGAGATGTAGCAGTAAACACAACAGACAAAAAGACAGGTTAAATAAAAGTAAAAGGGTGTACCTAACTGTTCACTTATATTTTCTTTGTTCTATTTTGCCAATGTTTTTTAAATGATATACTACTTTGTAATTATAATTCTTACTATTCTTTAATCTTAGATCTGTGTTTAAAAGGGTATACTGCTCATCATTAGTTCTTTTCTCAGTTATTTGAGTTTACATTTAACTTTCAGGGTTTAGTAGTCAATTTTTGATGGTATATACTGTTTAATTATTAAAAGTTTTTCCTTCCAATTCAGCATTGCAAAATAAAAAGGATAGAAAAACATATAATGCTATATAAACACTAACAACAACTAGAGGGACTAGAGTAGTATCAGTCAAAGATTTTGGAACAAGGAGTATCACCAGGGATAAAGAGGGTTATTTCATAATAAAGGGAACAGTTCACCAATAAGATAGAATAGTGCTAAATGTGCATGCACACATCAAGGACTTTAAAACACATGAAACAAAAATTGATAGAATGAGAAAAACCATTTTCCTATTTCTCTATCAGTAATTGAACAAGTAGACAGAAGATCAGTAAAGATGCAGATTTTTTCAACACTGGAACCACCTCTACTGAGTTACATTTATAGAACACTCCATTCAATAATAGCAGAATATACATTCTTTTCAAGTTTACATTAATCATTAACCAGGATAGACCATATTCTTGGCAATAAAATAAGTCTTCCTGAATCAAAACAACCAAATTATGTGTAGTATGCTCTGTGATCATACATAATTTCTGCATCAGTAACAGTAATATATCTGAAAATCTCCAAATATTTGGAATTAAGCAAGTTGCTTCTAAATATTCAGCTAGATCAAACAATAACTAATAAAGAGGAAATATTTTGAACTAAATGAAAAAACATTAGTGTGGTGCAGCTAAAGTGGTGCTTGAAAGTTATAGCTTTAGATGTACAGAGTAGATGAAGACGAGGGTTTCAAACCACATACCTAATCTTCCACCTTAAGAAACTAAAGAACAAATTAACACCAAAATAATCAGAAGGAAATGGATAAACCAGGAACAGAAATCAATGGAATAAAAAAATCAACAGAGAAAAAAGTTAATGAAACAAGAAGCTGGTATCCAAAAAAGAGCAATGACATTGATATAGCTCTAGCAAGACTGATAAAGGAAAAAGAAATTTAAAAAAAGGAGAACCCCAAATTATCTGTGTCAGAAATTAAGAGTATATTGTCACAGGTCCTCTGGACATTAAAAACATGTGGACTATTACTAACAACTTCATGCCACTACACTTAAGAACTTAAATGTACAAATTCTTCAGAATGTCCAATTTTTCAAAATATAAAGAGAAATAGAAAACCTGAATAGTTGTATGTCAGTTAGTAAAATTCATTTTGCAATTTGGAACCTTTGCATTTAGAAAAATTCAGACCCTCTGGTGAATTCTATTATGTAATAAGGAAGAAATAATATTGCATATCAATAATATCAATTCCACACTAATTCTTGCAAAAAATAATGTAACAAACCAATATCCTATACAGAAGTAGAAATTCTTAACAAAATGATTAACATTATCAAAACAAATCCAGGAGTATACATTAAAAGAATAATATAAAGTGACCCAGTGGGGCTTGATCCAGGAATGCAAGGTTGATGTAATACTTCAAAATTAATTTAATTTACCCTTTAATAAATTAAAGGGGGAAAACCATGCATAAAATACATTTGACAAAATTCAACAAGGAATTGTGTAGCTTATAGACAAGAATAATGAGTGCTGTCCTCTGAAGCAAAGGACAGTTTTGCTCATAGCTTTGGAAGCTACAGCTTGTGTTTCCATTGGAGACAAGTTAGGAATCTTATTCTCAACAAAATAGTGTTTCCATTTAGAGCAAAGAGCAGTCATGCTTACTGCACACTATTAAACTTCCATAAACTCAGGGTTTCTCTCCTATAATGCAGCCCTCTTTGTAGTTCTCTTCAGGAATTAAGCCTTGGAGAAATGATGCAAAAATGTCAATACTCTATCTACTGCTATCATTGTAACAAACCTTTCTTTATCTCTGATCCAGGAGTTTCATGTCTTTTACTAGATTCCATAAAATTGTGGCAGGCTAACATTTGCTTACTAATTGGGTAAAATCTCAGTTTATTCACAGTTCTTGACAAATTCTAATTTTAAAAACTAGTTTAATCAATTAAAAGGTAATTATAATCCTATGTTAAAATGAATTTAAGATTATGCTGTGGGAAAAAGTACTTGGACAAAAGTATTTGAAACATTGAGTTTTGGAAATTTATTTACATATTTTGGATGGAAACATTTGATACAGTTTACTTGGAATTCCTGGAAAAAAAAAGAGTATTTATTTTTTTAAAATGGGAATGCTTAATATACTTCAGAATAATAATTTTAAAACTCTTGCTCCCTGCCCAAAGATTCTTTTTGCATATTCAATGTATATGAGTAATATAAATAAAATATGAATTTCATTTAAAACACAAAATCCCCCAATAATTCCATTATATAGTAAATTGGTTATGAATGTTACAAAACTAAATGGTATTCATCTTAAAGTTTCCTTCTTATTTCTGTATTCTGGTTAGTGCCCAATAGGCTATAAGACTCTTGACACGTCTCTACTAATCTACCACAACATACATACCTTTCAAATCATGAGCTAAAGGCCTACTCCTAGGATTAGAAGTGTCTTCATAAGTATTATAGTTGTCAAAATGGAATTTCTCTCTTCTTGAAATGTGAGTCATTTTTGTTAGGTCATGATGCTGACTAGAAATTTTATCACTTAAACTCAAATATTCTCGCTGAAGATTCCGCATCTCAAATTCCAAGGTGTTCCTTTCATTTTCTATACTTCTTACATAGTTTTCTAAAAGCATTTTGTCTTCAGTAAGTCGACTGAGGCTGTTTTCAAAATTCATATTTTCTTGACTATGTTTCTTTAGTTCTTCTTTCAGAATTTGATTATCTGTCTTAATTTCCACTACCATTTTTGATAACATTTCGCATTCCTTGCTGATTTCTGACAAGCTGTTTTTATAAATATTTGCTTCTGATTTTGCATTTTTAATTTCTTTCAGAAAACTCTCTTCTGAAGCATTTTGGTAAGTTTGAAGAGTCTCAATTTTTCTTTCCATCATTTGTCTAGCAGCAGTAGCATCTTGTAATATTGTTTCAAGGTTCAGTTTTTCATTTTTAATTGTTTCTAAGATTTGAAGAAGTGACTCTTGCTCATTTTTTGCCAGTCTTTCCTTCTCTTTTAGCTGCAGGATCTCCAGCTGGTTTTCTTTTAGCTCATTTTCAAGTGAACTTTTGTCTTGGAGGAGCTGGTATGTTTTTTTCTCCAGAATGTCTTTTTCATCATGTATCACGAGAATATTTGTTTTCATTGCTTCCATTTCTATATTCATTCTGTTATTTTCACTACTGACAAGGGCCATATCGTTCTGAATTTTGTGTTCCTTACTTTTTAGCTGATCGAATGCATCCAACATTTGTTGCTTCTCCAAAGCAAGCTGACTATTTTTTTCCTCAAGCATTTTGTTTTGGCCTTGGAGAACATTATATTTGCTAATTATTTTCTTAAATTCTTTAAGACATTCTTTGCTGTCATCTTCTGCTTTAATTAACTTGGACTGAATAGTGTTTTTTTCTTCAACCAAATTCTTTAGTTGCTTTTCGTGGCTTTCAATTTTCTGTATCAGAGATTGTGTGGTAAAGACTAGAGGCTTTATTTTGGTCTTCAGGGTTAGATTTTCGTTTTCCAGTTCTGATACTTTTTTCTGTATCTGCATAGATTCTTTTAGGTAATTCTGTAAGTACTGAATTTTTGCAACACACTGCTCAGTGACAGAATTGACTTTAGATGTTTTCTCATTTTCAGCTATTACTGATCCGTGTTTTACTATAAATGGTTTCCCTTCTTTGTCTTTTATTTCATGTTTTGTTTGGTCAAGGAATGACAGTGTATGTCTTGGAACTCGGGAATGGAATTTTAAATCTGTAATATGCTTGCCATTGATAGGAATGTCTTTATTGTTTTTCTCATTATTTTTTCCCCTGTGTATTTCACTCTTCGATAATTTTTTACATTTCCTACAAAAATTCACATGGAATTTTGACACTGTTTCCCTGAGTGGGAGTAACTTGCTTACTAATGCCTCTAATTCTGAAATTCTCTTTGATTTTATATCTTCATTTAAGTTACTTTCTATGCTTTCCTCCTTAGTGAAGTCAATTTTTTCCTTGTGAATGGGGAACAGGTCATAGTTCCCATTTCTTTGAATATTTGGGTTGGTTTTTAAGGTTTGAAGTTCACTTGTAAGTGCCAGTTCCCTATCATGTGACTTTTGAAGCTCTTCCTTCATTTGTTTAATCGAGTAGCAAATATCATCCAAATTTTCACAAAACCCATGCTTCAGAAAAGGCATGTCCATTTTGGATTTATCCAGAATACCTGTATCTGCTTGAGATATCACATTTTGAGATATTTTAGGTAGAAAACTGTACTGATTATTATAATTCTTCAATATGTCAGAATTTTCTGAAGGGTTCATAATTATTATGTTTGAAGTTGAATTATCTGTTGGAGTTCTCAAGTTCTCAAGAGTTAATATGTCCTTGAACTGCATCTGGGATGGAATATTTATACTTTGAGAGAGACTGTTAACATTATTGCTACTGAATTTTTCATCCATTGAAGGACGAATCATGGAATCCTCAAAATGATGAATTTTTTCCATAGAAAAGATTTCTTCTGGCTTCTCTATAGGCTGTTGACAATAAAAGCACACTATAAATGTACTGTCATTTGCCATATGATCAAGAAATTAAGATAATAATTTGTGGATGATTTATTCATATAACCAAAATAAATATGGTATCTACTTTTATACAGCAAAAAAGCCTAACAGGTATGGTTTATTTTCCACAAAATTTAACAACATTTAACCTGTGATTCTGATCTCCTCAATTTGTTTAGAATTTGCACGTATTTCCTGAGGGGATGAGATACATGGACTAACCCCTCAATTTCTGAAATAGAAATTTAACATCCATCAACAGAACATCAAAAATAGGTGGAGGAGGTCATAGATAGGTCAAGTGAGAGTTTCAGGAAAGCAAATATTTCCACTTCTGCTTGCATTCCTAGTTTTAGGTCATTTTAGAGTTATGACTATCCTGAAAAAATGTGATTTCAAATCAGTATGGACACAGTGAGGGTCACCCTGATTAGCTGTTGCTCTAGAGAGTTCAGACTGGGTCAATCCTAAGTGCATGGAGAGGCTATACAAACTGCCTTGTATTTGAATTTACTTGGAAATCTTTCAGTATCTGGACTAACTCAAACATCCCTCACAGACTCCAAAAGGAATAGGAAAATTGCAGAAGTAGAGAAGTAAACGTACGTCTTTTAAGGTCTTCAGGATAGAAACTTCCTTATTTTCATCTCTGACAGTCAGTTCTTCCTGTGAAGAGGGGGAGAATGTAAAGCTGAAGGTAAACTAGTAGTAGTAACATTTTGAAGCACCTGAATGTAGGAATGATCTGTATAAATAACATACCGAATTCTTTTCAGTGTGTGTACTGAATGCTAGATTTTTTTCTGAGCCAAATTGTGGGGTTTCTACTTCAATAATACTTTTGTTCAGTATCTCACTGATTTCAGACTGTACCTGTAAAAGATAAATTGAGAATGTTAGGATTTCAGATTCATAAACTTATAAATGTATAGGAATAATAGATATTACAATTCAGAGATATTTTTACATTTAAAAAATATTTATTTTTAAGTTTTAGGTGGATACAATGTCTTTATTTTATATTTATGTGGTGCTGAGGATGGAACCCAGTGCCTTGTGCATACTAGGCGAGCGCTCTACCACTGAGCCCCAGCCCATATTTTTCATTTTCTATACATAAAAATTCTTTCCATCACAGAGAATATAAAATTAACTGTGCTTACTTTATTGTAAATATGTATCATTACAGGAGGCTTTAAGAAAATTAAATTAAATTGGATTGTTCTGATTTTTATCTTTCTTAATAACAAAATTAGAAAGATAACTTAGTGAATCAGTAACATTTTATGAACTATATTAAAATAATTTTAGGTGTTTGATTTTTTTACATAATTTAGTAAATAGGAGATCTTTGATCTCTGTCATCAGAACAGAACAGAACATTCTATCACTCTGCAGAAGAATTTTGTCTTCTCTTCCATTTCCCTGCAGTTCCTCTTAGCACAAGAACACTGGGTGTATAAGCCCTTAAGGGAGAGAACAAGCATGGCTTTCTTCTCTTTTCCACTCTGATCTGGAAGAATAAAGTCTCAGAGCTCCTAGCATCCCTTTGCCACCATATCAAGTCTGAGAATTCACTCCTGGAAAGAAAGATATGGAGTGAGACTTGTTCCTGATAACATGAATTTTTAAAAAAATATTTTTAGCTGTAGATGGATTCAATATATTCTTTTTATGTGGTTCTGAGAATCAAACCCAGTGCCTCATGCATGGTAGGCAAGTGCTCTACCACTGAGCCACAACCCCAACCTCATGAACCTTGATCATATACATGAAGCCATCTTGAAGTGAGCTATTTCTAGGATTTTTGGTTACTTGAGGTAATAGAGTATGTTTCCCCCGCTAAGCCAGTTTGACTTATATTTTAAACCTTTCAATGAGGGTCCCTATTTGCTGACTGTGTATAAATAGCACTTTAGAACTCAGATAATGCTTTTTCTTTTTGCTTTATATCCAAATAATAAGTATAAAAGAGAGAATGTAGTTTCCTCAAAACAATTTTGAGCTTGAACTATGTCATGGCTTCTGATATGTTAAATTCTACATCAGTTTATCCGCTGGCTAGTAGTTGTAGTTAGGAGATGGGAAGATAAATGTTAAGTCACAATGTATCCTATAGAGAGATGAAAAGAACCATACCATGCTAACATTCTGCAAAGTCTGTATTCGCAGAGCCTGAAATGATTCTAACTGATGCTGAAGGACCTATAATGAAATTAAACAAAGTATTAAATTGAATATTTTTAGGCTGCTAAACATAATCTTGGATTATTCTGATTTTTATATCCTTTAATGTTACCATTATCAGAAAGCATCATATGAGAGTCAGGTGATTCACATTCTTAGTCATTTTGCTGACTCTCCAGAGCTCTTTCATAAAGATTTCTGTGAGGACAAAGTGGAAGAACCAACAAGCATTTGGGAAATATTTATTCTGGACAAGATCAGCCTTTGCATAGGATTTTGGAGCTAATAAAATGATATAGACTCACTTTCAATGCTGACTGTGGTTGGATTTGGTTTTCAGATTCTGATATGCAGCCATATTCTGAGAAGTAAATTTGAAAAAAATGTGGTTTAATTTTTAAATTTTATTTCTCAATAAATAAAAATAGCAAATTCCTAACTTTCTTGGATAGGAAGACAATGAGATAATGAGAATATTTAACATTGACATTATGGTAATCACAAATTTAAGAAGTAATTTTCATTTGACTTAAAAATACCCACTTGAGTATTATGGTTTTACTTTTATAATAAACCACTGCTTTGTGGCACCTAACTTGACAAATCTTAAAAGCTCAAATATCCTTGATTCTGAGATACAAACTACATTTCTTTTGTGAAAAAGACAAACTAACAATCCTCCTGTCATGGGAGACTTGGCAGGATACTGTATTAGTTCTCAGTTTAATAAAATTGTAATGTGACTTTTTTCCTCTTTTAATGCAGAACAGGTTGAATTAACAACATACTATGAGCCTTGTTATTAAGCAAAGTACTAGAAAGATCCACATGTTCCTTCTGTTGGGAAAGGCAGTTCAATGTGCACAGTCCTTTGGTCCCCTCTCAGCCACATAAGAACTTCCTTAAGAACAGAGTGCTCACAGTTTATGTTAAACTTATCACCTTGTGTGGAAATATTCCCCCTCCCCATTTTACTTATTTACTTGGGAATTGAAACCAGGGATGCTTTACCACTGAGTTACATACCCAGTTCTTTTTAATTTTTTTTTTTTGAGACAGCTTTGTTCGGTTACTGAGACTCTCCCTAAAGTGCTTAAGCCTGACCTTGAACTTGTGATCCTTCTGCTTTAACCTTTGGAGTCAATGGGATTACAGGCATACACCACAGCTCCTGACACATTTTCCCATTTTAGACTCAGTGTGTATTTCTTTGTTCTGCTCAAGCGTGGGGAGTCTCCCCTGAGCTATTTGAACATCTTCACGGGTTTGGTATTGCAAGCTATTTTGTGGCTCCTCCCATTTAATGGATTGCTCAATGCACTGACCTCTGCCTTCCCTTGGCTAGGGAGACCCATCTTGTAGCTCCGGAGTTGGGCGTAACCCATTTGGAGCTGGACAGCCCACTGTCTAGCTTATTTGGCAGAAGAACATTCTATAGAAAAACCTTTGAAGTTTGCCCCATATAATAAAGCAAATGTGGGCTCTCTCTCTTTCCAGTGTGGTAGCCCAACCCTTAAGGTCAAAGAGCCATCCTGCCCTTGCTTTTCAAAATTACTTTCAGTGTCATGTGTTTTTTTTTTTGCCACCTTCTTTTCTTTTTTTTTTGAAAGGCATTCCACTTTTATTTTTCTCTAGAAGCATGAATAAATTGCTTTGGTACATTTTTTTTTTTTTTTAACAATACTGACACAGTTTATTTTCCCTATCAAATTTTTAAGAGTTAAAAGCCTTGATAAAAGAGTACATTGGCAAGGCTGTGGGAAAATAGCCATCTTTTTTTTTTTTTTTTTTTAAATTTTTTTTTTTATTGGTTGTTCACAACATTACAAAGCTCTTGACATATCATATTTCATACATTAGATTGAAGTGGGTTATGAACTCCCAATTTTACCCCAAATGCAGATTGCAGAATCACATCGGTTATACATCCACAGTTTTACATAATGCCCAATTAGTAATTGTTGTATTTTGCTACCTTTCCTATCCCCTACTATCCCCCCTCCCCTCCCCTCCCTTCTTCTCTCTCTACCCCATCTACTGTAATTCATTACTCTCCTTGTTTATTTTCCCATTCCCCTCACAACCTCTTATATGTAATTTTGTATAGCAATGAGGGTCTCCCTTCATTTCCATGCAATTTCCCTTTTCTCTCCCTTTCCCTCCCATCTCATGACTCTGTTAAATGTTAGTCTTTTCTTCCTGCTCTTCCTCCTTGCTCTGTTCATGGTTGCTCTTAACTTTATTTTGCAGCCAGCCCACGACACATAGAGGAAACCCAAATTCCACTATCCACATGGGCCGTGGGTGAGACTCAAGCGTGTGCATTTTATGAAAACTGACCAATACACTACCATCTCCCTGAAGTGGAGCATTCTGCTACAGCACAGGCGGGGTGTGTGCAGACCAGTTGTCCTACATTGGGTATCAACGGTGACCTACTGGCCATTGGAGTTCAGTAGCTACTGCAGAAAATTATCTTGCACCTGTCTTTGCTTTGTGACTCAAATGTAGTTGTATCCAGTGTTTGAGTTCTCTTTTCCTTAGTGCTTCCAATACCAACACAGAATGGACAAAAGTGCTCAAGCTTCTCTTGACGATAGAGAATAGTTATCACATACCCAACATTTCCTGGAAGATAGATTATAGATATGCAACAGGGGAGAGACTATGTGATATGTGCAAATTTCCTTACATATATCCCTCTTTGTTCATATGTTAGGCAACTTGCGTTAATTCTTTTTTAAATTAAAGAAGTGGAAAAAACTGAATGAAATGAGAGTTAAGATTGAACGGTCTTCTAGGCTAATTCTAGCCCACCAAGTTCTACTCTTACAGAAGGGCTTTGAAAGAGTTTTTTCCTTCTTCTTCTTCTTCTTTTTTTGAATCAGGGATTTGTACCCAGAGTCATTAACCACTGATTTATATCCCTGGCCCTTTTTATTTTGAGACAGGGTCCCACTAGGTTGCTTACAATCTTGCTAAGTTGCTGAGGCTGGCTTCAAACCTGTGATCCTCCTGCCTAAGCCTCCTGAGCCTCTGGGATTATGGGCATGTACCACTGTGCCTAATTAAGAGGCCTCTTTTGGATTGGTAGTCTGCTAGGTGTTGTAGAAACTGGTTGTCAACTCCTTTGTCACTTGGCCTTCATCACTGATAGGGCAAAACTGGTTGGGAGCCTGGAGATGTGTATGACCAATTGCAGAAGGCCACCTCAGTCAAAGGCAGAGAGGGCCAGTGTGTTTACCAGGATGTTGCTTAGCTTTGCATCTAACTGGGAATAAAATGGCAAAAAAATAGAAGAAGAAGAAGAAGGAGAAGGAGAAGAAGAAGAAACTGATGTAAGGCTGGGATGGAGGCAGGAAAGCATCTCAAAGTTTTTTATTCACTCAGATATCTTCTTCTAATGAATTCAAATAGGTCATGCAAATCAAAAAGAATATATTATCTGGAATTCCACCATCCAGAACTAATATTGTCAATTTTGGGTACTTATCCTTCATTGGGTTCTGGGGTCATATTACACACACTACTGAAATGATGGATATGCCAATCACCCTGAGGTAATCATCACAAATTTTATATATATATATTTATATTTATACACACACACACACACACACATAAATATACATTGAAATGCCACACTGTACCTCATAAACAAATAGTTACTATGTGTCAGTTAAGAAAAATGTTTCAAAGAAAGAAAGAAAGAAAGAAAGAGAAAATATATCATGAAGAAGAATAAGAGGTTGGAATCATCATGTTTTTAAAACATATATTTCTGTTGTGAATCAGTGTTGATTTTCTTCCTCCCAAGAAAAATGAGAAAGCTAGCATTATAATTCCTTCCACATCTACCCCCACTTTTCATGATATTTGCTGTTTGTTATTTTCATAGTGAAGTTTCATGATGTTTACATTCTGTTCTGTAACCATAATACTCATAAAACTATTTAAATACCAAAGATAGGATATTATTCTTGGAAATAATTTTAGCCTTCCTCTTTATTCTTAATGGTGTTGCTGTTTCAAAATTACATCTCCTTCCTTCAGTAATACCCGCCCTCTTCTATTAGAAGAACTTACAAGTTCAAAGCTAAATATAGAATTCTTTTTGCTAAAACCAAGGAAGAAATAAGGGTTCAAAAGAAACCTATAGACTCAGTGAAGTGATATTGTAAAGAAAAGATTCTTAAGAAAGCACAATGGGGTTTATACATTGCTTCTCTCTATATTTTCTATCCTCCATCTCTTCATTTTTTGGCCACGGTACAATTACATAGTTACCATGCTGCTTCTTGTCATATGGCTCATGTTTAACTTGACCTTGACAATTCTGTTCAGAATTTCTGTTTTTTTTTTTTAAATAGTATTTTAGATTTTTATTTATTTATTTATTTATTTTTACATCCTTCCATGAGCCCCCATTAGTCTATCCCTTTGAGCTATAGATTCAGGGCCAGGGTAAAAATTGAGTGTAGCTGTCTGCAGAAGGAAAAATCAACGGTATTGACAGGCTTTGTTGGAGGATGTGGTCTCTTTGGTGATACTTTTGGTGGTATTCCCTGAGACTTTGGTTAGAAATTTAGTGGTAGGATGCACCTTCCTTGAGGAAATACTCTGCTGACTTGGCTCATTCTCTCAATTCAGAGCTCTGGAACTGGGGTTGCCATGTAGGATTGTGAAGGTTGTTTATTGGACAAAGGCTGTGTGGGGCTCCAATCCATCCCATGCTCTTTCTACTCAACTAACCAGCACCCGGGGTGGGTGGGTGTGCATCCACTCAGAAGAGGATGGACCTCTTTTAAAATCCCCTAGAACCATTCCATGGGCTAGTGGCAGAACCACCCAGAACCTCTGCATTTCTTACAGTAAATTCCTTTTCTCAGGTATACTCATCTGTTTCTAGAAGTTGCTATACTCTACACATATGAGTCCTAACCTACAGAAAGGTACAGGTGTTTTCTCTTTTTTCATTCACATATGGGTTGGGGATGTTCAAGAGTATTCTCGGGATTTTGACTTGCTTTATTGCTTCTACAAATCGGGCAGAATCAGGAGCCAGGAAATGGTTTGGCTTGCCTGGACCTTCTGTTTTTAATTTTGGCCTCCACTTTCTGATCTTGTGACTTAAGGGAGTGCCCCCTTCCTTCTTCAGGTGCTGCTAGTGAAATTTTTGCTTGTTTTCTAGCACTTTTTAGTTCATTTCTTTTGGCACCAAGAAAGGAAGATCTGTCATCTTTCTTCACTCTAAAATCTCTCACTGAAAGTCTAGAAGGATTTTTATAACTTCATGATTCAGCTTTTTTTGTGTGTGGGGGGGTGTTGTTTCTTGTTTTAGTGGTTCATTATTCAGCAACTTAATTCAGCTAAGTACTTTAGAATTCCAGAAGAGATGGGATCCTGATGAATCAGTCTTTAAGTAGTTACAGTTCTTTCATTGAAGCAGGGGGAAGGCAGAGCATACGGGTACCCATGGAGGTAGGTAAGCAAGGTGAAGGTGGAGGGTGAGAGAGTTTTGGTCTTATTGCTTCTACTTTCCTCACATAGCATAGGACTGTGTTATGAGTTGCGAGGTGGTGGAAAGAGGAATTGGGGATTTGAGAACAAGAGGAGTGCAATTACTATCTTGGACAGAGAGAGGTTTGAAAAAGAATTTGTTGAGGGCAATAAAGTAAGTTTGCCAAATAGCACTGAATGCTCCTTTTAGATTCATGTTATGACTCAAAAATGAGTGTTTTTCTCTAGCAATGTCCAGATGATTCACTACAGGCAGAGAGTAGGCTGAAAGTTGGATTCACCTATTTTTAAAGCTATTAAAATACCCTTTGTTTTTCTTATGAATCTTTGGCTGCTACTTATTGCCAAAGGAAAGGTAATTTAAAATTCAGAAATAAAGAGCAACACAGACACTATCAAAGAATCAGATAGACATTATCATAGCACATAATCACATGTTCCTCTTAAGTTCCTGCTGAACATATGCTATTGGGAGGCATTTAGATGAGGTGGAAGACAGATCCCATCCCTCAAGAAGCTTGTTGTCTATGGACTATGTAAGAAATATTCATATTATATTCAACTTAAATTCTCTAGCTATCTCATATTTAAGTGTCAAAAGTAAAAAAAAAAAGATCAGTGGAGTGACTTGAGATATAATGTGAATATTAAGGGATTTATTATAAGGCTGCAGAAAGTTATATCATATTGAGTGTTTGTGGGAGGTATTAGGGCCATAATTGGTTAATTAAGGGAAGCAAATGAGTTTTAAAAATGAAACATGACAATGACTCTCAGCTTCAAAGATTTGTAACTTGTTGTAGGAGGCCCATGAGTTGTGGCACATTCTGCACAACTATGAGAGAGATGAACTATGGAGTTGGGTTGCCTGGATTTGAGTCCTGGCTTTGCCACAAACAAGGCGAGGGGATAATCTAGGCAAGTTTGTTGGTAGAGCCTTTATATCCAGCACACGATATGTCATCAATGCTCAACAAAGCTCAATCTTTCTTCAGCGCCCTGGACAACACATGGTTTTGACATTCTCTGGACTCAGGTTATGGCAGTTGCCGGCTCTTTCCCTAAAACTCTTCAGTGATTGCTTCTTCACCTCCTCTAGACCTCGATCAGATGTGACCTGCTGAGAGGTGTTTTCTCCTATATCCTGCCCTATTTAAAATTGCACATTCCCCACCCACCTCTGACATTGCACATGCTCCACACCTCCTTCTCTGCCTTACTTTTCTCCATAGATTTACTGCCATCTTGCACACAATATCCTGTGTCTGTCTGTTCTCCCTACTAAGGAGGTAAGCTTCATATGAGTGGGAATCTTACATATGGTGTTCACTCTTGGATCCCAATAGATAGAACAGCCCTGGATACACAGCAGTGCTCAGAAATATTTGTTTGGTAGACAAACAAAATGAATGAAGACTTGGGTAGGACAGAGGTCCTAGAAAAAAAAAAATGTTGGTCATCCTGAAGTTCAAGAGTATCTCTTATATACTCATTTCAATGAATCAGAGGCTAATTATGTGAACTCATTGTTCTTATTTGCATGAATAATTAGCACTATTTAGGCAAATTAGGTAAATATTTTGTTGGTTAGTAATCAGAAGGATCACTTGGTGACAGTGAAGGGTAGACAGAACAGAAAGAGGGTTCAAAGTCACACCCCTTAACGTGCCTTCAGTTGTAGCAAATCCAGCCATCCTTGGCAGTACCTGATTTGATATACCTAGCATTTACTGAGTACCTGTCCTGTGCTATATCCTGTACTTGTAAACACTGTGCTCTCGCAAGAGAGATTGTAACTTGTAAACAAGTATTTGTGTTATTTTATAAGTAACTTCATTTTCTATAAATATTGGCATCTTTCTCCAGCGCCCTAGACAGCACATGGTCTTGCCAAATTGAAGTATCCCCATCTCTTCAATCTTAAGTACTCTCTTGGAGGTAAAATACTGGGCCAGTTTAATGTTTAAGTTTTTTTTTGTGAGGAGGACTCTTTCTCTCCTGTCCCTTTTACCCCTCACAGTTCTCCAAGGAAGCCAGAGTCTCATGGATGGAGGAGGGTGGGCCAAAGAGCAGAGAGGAGACTGGTCCTGCTGGCCTCCACTTGATGTTTCTCATTTTGGTGGTGACTGAGTATCCAGTTGTCTTTCGTCTACTGAGGTGCGGCTGTTCTGGCCTCTTCTTTCAGGGACTTTGCCGAAGCATTTGTGAAGGTTCTGGATTTGTGAAATTGCAGAAATCTTGTTCCCATTTCAAGCTTCTATTTGAACACTTTTCTGCTTCTGGATATCTAAATGATGCACATGGGTTATCAGCAACTGGGTCCTCACTTGGTTAGTCTGTCTAGGTACTGCCTCTGCTCAAGTGTTCTGCTCCTTCCCTGGCATGTCCCCCTGAACACTAGCCAAAGGCGCATAATCACTGAGGGCTTCTCTCAAGGAGATGAGACTCCAGCTTCAGTGTCCTCAGGTTCCTTACCTGGATATTTACACAACCTTATTCCCGGTTCATGCAAAGTTTGAAAACTGTAGCCACTTGCTTTTGTTCAAACATCCTCCCCGTACAATAATCTGTAGTCCACAAATATTTACTGTGACAAGTAGTTTTCTTAGAAAAGAAGTATCTTTTTAGTGTCTGTCCAAAACAACCTCAATACTTGCCATCTAAAGATGAAGTATAGTAGAGTGTTGGTTAAGACCTGTACTCTAGAGACAACCTGCTGAATTCTGCCCCTATCCTTTGCTACCTGTGTGACCTTGGGGAGTTAGTTAACCTCTCTGAAAAGTGGGGATAATGGATAGTACCTGTTTCATAGGACTTTTGTGAGGATCGAATGAATGGATACATTTACGTGGTTAGAGTGGTATGTGGCTATCGTTAGTATCATAATAGTTACTAAGTGCATCCGTCGGGCCAGTGGACTTAGGCAATGTGCCGGTTGTCTGTATGCAGTACAGAAGCAGCATCATTGCCATAGGAGCAACTTGGCCTGGAAGATTTTACCTGCTTCACTGCCACCAATTTCCTTTAACCCCTCGGAGGCATTTAGGATCTTGGACGCTGAAAGGAGAACGGAGTCGACCGCGTCCTCTTCCTCAGTGTGCTTTTCTGTAACAGAACCCAGCAAGGTCTTTGGTTCCTGTTGGGAGGAGTGGAGCTGCCCAGGAGCCCCAGCCAGGTGGTCCATGCCCCCTGCGGCCACCGGAGGGCGCGCTGCCGCCACGCAGTGGCAGCGGGGAGGGAAGTGGGTGCTTTTCTGGGGCTGCGCCGGGGATGAGTGGCTGGTTAAGGAGATCCGCGCTCCAGACGGCCCGGGAAATCCCTGCGGCTTAGCGGTGAAGCGACCCAGCTGCGCGCTACTTTACCCTCCACTTCCCAGGGTCCCCCTAGAGGAGCAGCCCCCTGGCCCCGTTCCTACCGGGGCTCATTTCTGCTGCTCAAGATCTCTCCACCAACTGCCTAGCCCCACGCATTCCCCTCAGTGGCTTCACGCTGGGGCATCCCGTTGCCTAGTAACTGGGTGACCCGGAGGCGGCGCCCCACCCCCACCCCTTTGCCTCGAGCGGAAGTGGGTCTTGCTCTGGCTCTTTTCCCGCCCAGCGGTGCCCAGGACATCTGCGGGGTGGGAAGGACCTCTCCTTTGCTCCTCTTTCCCAAATCCAGGGTTCAATCCCACTTGGGCGTTTTCTCCCGCCTCCAGATCAGCACTTGGTTTTGATCATATGCTGACTTCAGACAGCACCTGTTGGACCAAAGCTGTATGAAGAAAGGGGGACATTTGTGGACAGATGTTCACCTTTTTTGCTTCTGCCACGCCATTTCATTGTCTTATCGTTTTATTCCTCTAATTTCATCCCACCCATCAGTGTGGTCTCAGCATTTAGGGATTTGAGCAGCATTTAAATTAGTATATGATATTTATTTTGCAATATCAACCATTACACATAGAATATAGTCACGGAAAATTCAAATTTTAAATCACAGTCATAAAGAATTTAAAGTCACTATGATATAATAATTTGTTATATAATCAACATATGGCTTGCTTCTATGGAAATGAAATTTTATGATAGTTTCAATGTTCATTTGCTCTAATTTCTTGTTTCTTGCAAGAAAATCTTACTCTTAGATTTGATAATTTGTGGTATTGTAGACAATTTTAATACATTATAATTTTGAGAACTTTAATGTGTTTGTTAAATCACTCCTCTAAATAAATTGCATTATTTTGAAAAGAGAATGTAGATTAAAGTCTTTACATTCCCATGTTTAAAGCAGCACAATTCACAATAACCAATCTATGGAACTAATCTGGGTGTCCATCATGGATGAATGGATAAAGAAAACTTGGCATATATGCACAATGGAGTTTTACACAGCCATAAAGAAAAATGAAATCATGTCAGTTGTAGGAAAATGGATGGAACTGGAACCATTATGATAAGTAAAATGAGCCAAGCTCAAAAGGTCAAGGGTTGCATGTTTTCTCTCCTAAGTGGAAGCTAGGGAGGAAAAAAGAAAAAAAAAGTTGTGGGACAGGGACCTCATGAAAATCAAAGGGAGATCAGTAGAGGAGAGGGAGCAGGAAGTGGGAGAAGGGGAGGGAGAGGGAAGTGTTGGGGAGTGATATTGGCCAAATTATATGGCATGCATGTATGAATGTGTAACAAGAAATCCCGTCCTAATGTACACCTATAAAGCACCAATAAAAAGCTAAATAAAGAAAAGAAAGCCATTACATTTCAAAAATTTAAATTGTATGCTGATGAAATTTCTATAATGAATATTATATTTTATGCAATGCTATGTATTAACTTCTAGTAATATGATAAATAGCATCATTTAATATTCTGTAATAACTCCAATTTATGTAATATTTGTGGATTATGAAGGTGTTATAGTTTGGATATTAGGTATCCTCCAAAAGCTCATGTGTGAGACTATGCAAGAAAGTTGACAGGTGAAATGGTTATGAGAGTCTTAATCTAATCAGTGCTTTAATACCCTGATAGGGATTAACTGGGTGGTAACTATAGGTAGGTATGCTGTGGCTGGAAGAGGAGGGTCCCTGGGGGCATGCCTTTGGGGTATATATTTTGTTCTTGGTGAGTGAAGTTCTGTACTTCCTCAGGTTGCTTTGTCCTGAGCTGCTATCCTCTACCACACTCTTCTGCCATGATGTTCTGCCTCACATGAGCCCTGAGATCTATGAGCCCTAAAATAAACTTTTTTCCCCTAATTGTTCTAGTCTGGTCTTTTAGAAAAAACCGACTAAAACAGATGACAAGTGAATGTTGGTTATTACATAGAAAGTATGGGTGGATTTGAATAAAAGGCTCAGTCATACCGGGTAGAATAAAAACAGGAAAAAACAGATGATGATAGTTCTTGCAAAATTAGACAGTGCACTTATTTCAGCAGAGACTTATTTAAGTTTAAGATACTTCCCAATTAGTTCATCATAAAAGGGACTTGTTAGTAAGCTGGACAGTTTATTTTAGTTGTTAGGTCAACAGGCCTCTTGGTGATCAAACTCATTTCTCTTTTGGAAATGAAATCACGTTATTTTCAGTTAGAACAAGACCCAATTAATTTGTCAGAAAATTATTGTAATTAGTATATGAAACATCCATCAAAGTTATAATAAATTCAGAAAAATGTTTTAAATAATGAAAATGCCTACCACAAGAATGGCACACTTCAGAAAACACCCCTTGTTAAGGGCCTCACATGAACCACAGAATTTGGTAACCCTGTTATTTGAAAAGAGAATCTGGAATTGGTACAGAGAATTAACATGTTTCTAAAAAATGGGAATGAGTGGTGGGTCCAGCTCTTTGGGGACCATTTTATAGCATTTGTGAAAAGTGGAGAAAGTCTCATCTGATTACTCATTCCCACTTAAAGCTCTTGCCACAGGTCACAACTTATACTTGAAAGTCCCTCTATTCTGAATTCAGTGGGTAACAGTGACTTAATAACTGATAACAGTGACTTAATAACTTGGCCTCTTTGAACATCAGTTTACCTAGCCATAGCACAGGAGACCAGTTATTGTGAGAATGAGTACAATCCATATGAAGGCTCCTACTCCAGTGGGTACAGACAGTAGTTAAGGAAGGCCCACAGACTAGATTGAGATTCCATACCATTGTTGAAATTTTTTTTCCCTGTGGTTTTTTCTTATTTAAAGAGATTCAACTATTCTAGCTCAAATATCAGAAAAAAAAGGATGTCTTTTAAAGAGATAACAGGAGAACAGGAGAATGTGTTATCTAATTTGTGATTTGTCTCAGTGATGATGTTCATTAGACGGCTTTACTAAGGTGGTACCTGCTAAAATTCTCCGGTAAAGTTACTTTTGTTTCCCTTTGTAATTAGTAAGTATTTTGTAGGGAAATACTTTACACTATGTAAATATTCCCCTTATCACCAACTTTTAGTTCGTTCATCTATTTATATTTTTTGTATGTATTAGCGTTTCCTGTTATTCAGTAGGTTCTGTTGGATTGTCTTCTGCTACTAACATTATTTATATTGATCAAATTTTCCTAATTTGGCCAAGGACTGTTTTTGTGTAGCAGACTTCTATGTGCTTTTGGCATGTTTCCTTCATTGCTGAAGTATTTTTTTAAAAAAATTTTCTTGACACAACCAGATATCCCAGGCTCAGTTATATTCTCCTTGCCCTGTCCCTGTGGTCAGCCATTTCTCCTCAGTTTAAGAGGAGAATGGATATGGTGCTGAGGGTGCATTTGCTGTTGCCGTGTAACTGCTCACAGGCCATCTTAGTCACTAGAGCTAGGAAAGGCCTGTATTTGTACAGAAGTGCACACATGCATTCATACATTTGCACACAAACACATTTACTCTCTGGATCTCTATATAACAGGAATCATAAGTTCATGACACCTCCAATTCCAGTCCAACACCACAGTACTCTTTCTAGGTTTTTCTTTCCCAATTTATAATTTCCTTTACCAACAATGAGAATCACAACATCCATTAATTGTTATGGAGTCACTTCTCTGAGCAAAGTCCTACTTCCTATGTGTTGTGCCCTCTCCTCCTGCTGCTCTACCTGGACTCAGCTCTCCATTGAGCTTCTCTTCTACTTTGACTTCTTGGCTGGGCACTCACTCTCCTGTTTGTGAAGATCGTCCCATCCTCCTTGGGTGCTGATGTCATCATGCCCCAGCCAGTTCCATGCAGGGTCACTTGCTCACCCTATTAGGATCTAACTACTGACCCCAGTGCTCCTCCCCACAGGGGGATCTTCTTTTGCTATTTGGGATTTGACACCAAACTTTGCTTGTGGCAAGATCCTGAAATGATTCTTTCATTTTTGTTTCTGGAAGCTTTGTTGTTTTACTTTTCCTATTTAGATTTGCTATTCATCTGAAATTGATTTTTATGAGTAACAGGGTCAATAGCTATTTTAAAAATGTAACTCTGTCTGATGCTATATTAATTGCAAAGAATATAATTTATTGTATTATCTATATTTTTGAATGTATTTTTAAAATGTCTGTTTTTTTCCCCCTGGAGACTCAAAATCTATCATCTTGACCCTAAAGTTACTCATTGCTATGTTGTGAAACTTGGATAAAGTGATTATTTGCTTATCTAGAAGACAAATTAGAACTAATGAAAGAGAATAGTAGTAGAGAACTAGGTAAGAGAGAATAGTACAATCAGATTTCCTTTGGACTTTCAAAATGGGGAAAATTCCATTATCCTGGGTGAATCAGTAAAAACTGGTTCTTGAGATTCTTCCAAGTTATTTGACAGCTCTTGAGTACTCAGTCTTCTACAGCACTCAGATTCTCCATGTACAGGCAAGAAAGGGTTAGTGATATCCAGAGAAACCTGTCATATTATGCAGTCTGCTTGCTCAGATCTCCCGGTCACTGTTCCTGCTCAGATGACACTGAAGGATTTGTGTCTCATTTGAAAATAGGTCAACAATGTTTCCTGTTTCAAAATACTCTGGGAGACCTTAGGCTTCCTCCCTCTATATGTAATTATTCCCTCAATAATTGCTTTTGTTGGAATATTCTTGTTGACACTTCATGATGTTGATGGATTGTGGAATTTTATGAACAAAAGTTGTTTTAATATAGGACGGTTATAAGGATCTTCTCGAAAACTTTTTAAAAACTGGCCAGTACTAGACTTTCTGATGCTGAAACTTTGATTTTTTCCCAAATCAGCATGTCTTAAAATTTTTTTCCCATGTGTTAGAATTCTCTGAAGTAGGTTAGTACTTCATCTAAATTTTGCAAATATATAGAGAAAGTATAAACATGTTTAAACTAGTATAAACTAGAGCTAAAGACTTCTGTTTTCTGATATAGTTTCGTATTTCACCTATACTATCTTCTCCACATGGTGATACTGTTTCTATTTCATTTGATCTCATGTCACTTAGAAAGTAGAGCAATAACTAGGAGATAAACTTTCTCTGGACTCTTATGTTGATCAGACTACCAACTGCCCTTAAAAAAAGTC